TAATGTTTAGGGTTAGGTATGTACTAGTAATGTTTAGGGTTAGGTATATACTGGTAATGGTTAGGGTTAGGTATATACTGGAAATGGTTAGGGTTAGGTATATACTGGTAATGTTTAGGTTTAGGGTAAGGGTCAATGTTGGTATAGAAATTAATGAAAAAGGAATGGAAGTCAGTGCAAAGTCCTTGTTAAGACAGAAAGACAAACGTGCATGTGTGTACGTGCACAGTACTCTTCCCAGGCATTGATAGTTTGCTGAGTGCTGGGCAGAGTAAGCGATTGAAGGAATACTTATCGATTTTGGCCGCACATCTCTCCTTCTCTGAAAATCCTTGATTGCTTTAGTTCTGCTGCCGGTGTTTCTGCCTCACAGGCTCTAATGAAAGTCCAAATGAACTGGAGCACGTACCGTTGTCTCACTCTTTCTTTCCCTCGTCTCTCACAAGCTTCATCTCTGCCACTAATTTCTCTATTCCCCTGCTCATTTCTGTTTTTATGCATTTGGATGTTTTCTTTAGTCTTTTATCTCTTGTGTCCAACGCTCTGAGTTTATATCACTTCTCTGTCATTCTGCCCGTTTCTCCTCTGTTCCTCCTCCTGTCAAATGGATTTCATGCTTGGACCCTCCTTACCAACTGATTCTCGTCTGTGAGATGTTCGTTGTGTTTTAAACGAGTTTTTATGATTGCGCTCCTGCTCCACAGCCCCGCATTCAAATTAACCTTCGGTGCAAAACAAACTTCTTCTGGTACCAAAACCATAAGGTGCAGTTTAGTAGTTGTAGTAGGACGGTAGTTTAGTCGTTGTAGTAGGACGGTAGTTTAGTAGTTGTAGTAGTACGGTAGTTTAGTAGTTGTAGTAGGACGGTAGTTTAGTAGTTGCAGTAGGACGGTAGTTTAGTAGTTGCGGTAGGACGGTAGTTTAGTAGTTGCGGTAGGACGGTAGTTTAGTAGTTGACTGATGTACTCCCTGACCTGCAACAACAGGATGAGAGAGTTTTAAAGTCCAAGAGATCGACGGTGTAGTTCTTTTAATCATCTCTTGTTGAACGTTTGGCTGCACGTCTGAAATTCACTGCTGGAATTTGTTTAGTGAAGTAACCTTCATAAATATTCAGTGAAGTCCACTTCAAGAACATTTCCAGTTTGTCTGTGTGCATGATTATGTGGTATTTGTACAAAAACATCATATGTAATTTGTTCTGTACGTAAGAATTGAGAATATAATTATATAAATTCAATTAATTCCTGTTTTGCAGAGATTAGCCAACTCTCAGAAATGATCATAAAGGCTAAAAATGATCTTTTAAGTGTAACGGTGTTTCTGAGTCCACATAAAACTTCATGGAAGTTCTGATCTGAGCCACAGTCCATCTCTTATTTATATTTATTTGATTACTGCTTGTGTTTAAAATGGACTTTTATAAATCTTTTTTAAATACAAAAACTGAAAACCGTGTCTTTTAACACATTCTATGGGCTGTAATTATTTTTTTTAACTTTAATGTTGTTTATTGTGTTGTAAACTGAAATGAAAAATGTTTAAAGACCAATGATTATTCTGGGTTTGTAATTTATTTATTGTGGCTTCTGTCTCTAACGTATAAGACGCCATGTCAGAATGTGTAGGTGGGACTCAAACGGTGTCCCCGACGTTAGTGAAGCGTTTGTTTGGACAAAAGAATTAAAATATGTGATGTCTTTATTTCCATGCTGCTGGTCTCTGGGCGACCAAGTCTGAAAGATTCGTTTGAAATCGCTGCCTTCAGTTTGGACCTGGTTCTGTCCACAGCTTCAGTTTGGACCTGGTTCTGTCCACAGCTTCAGTTTGGACCTGGTTCTGTCCACAGCTTCTGTTTGGACCTGGTTCTGTCCACAGCTTCTGTTTGGACCTGGTTCTGTCCACAGCTTCAGTTTGGACCTGGTTCTGTCCCCAGCACTGGTCTACATTCCCACCTTTGTTCCCATCGACACCGTGGGTCCACCTCTTCTGACGTATGTTTGACCCTTTTGGCCTTCTCACCTTCTAGGGGAGCTGGAGGAGGAGATGGAGAATTCTGAGATGGTGGACCTCCCAGAGAAACAGAAACACCAGCTGAGACACCGGGAGCTGTTTCTGTCCCGCCAGCTGGAGTCCCTGCCAGCAACGCACATCAGGTACAGGCAGCGAAGCTGGATCAGAGCAACGGGCAGCATCGTTTGCTTCAACCGGTCTCTTATCGTAGGACTCAGACCTGTACGGCTATTTTACTTGTTGATTTGGGTTCAAATAAACCCAGTGCCACACTGGGCCTGGACTCACTGGTTGGTGCTGGACTCACTGGTTGGTGCTGGACTCACTAGTTGGTGCTGGACTCACTGGTTGGTGAACAGCATTTGTGAGAGTCTCTCCAAAATGTCTTGGGTTGTTCTTGATTTTTCTCTTCTTTGATCTTTGATTTGGTTTTCAGGTCTTTTGGCCTGATCTATAAACATTTTGGTCAACTACCGTAGTCTCCAACAGTCTCCGCCCACTGAGTTACTAATGGAGATCAATTATTTTTAAAAGTAGTCACACAAGTACCACAAAATGCACAAACGCAGTTTTTTTTAAAGTACACTTTTCAAAATGCACAAGTAGTAATATTGTGTGCCTGCAGGCGGTCAGGTGAGCTACCAGTTAGAAATGTCCTCCCAGTAACTCTGTACGTGTGGTGAGGCTCAGATGTCCCAGTTTTTCATCAGCCTAATTCATCTCCATGAAGCTGACCCAACTCCCCCAGGTTCAGAGCGTCCACCAGTTGTTGCCGTCTTCAAAGTCTCGTTTCCAACTATGAAGTGAAACTTGAAAAAACTTCAAACTTGTTGTTGGCAGCTGTTCGGGATGAGTTCCCATGAAAGAAAACTAAGTGGGTGCAGAAACTGGATCGGTGATTGAACCACTGAAATGAGGAATAAGTGTGTTTTGTGTTTTACTTTTTATTTTAACTGGTCGTCGTGACTTTGTCATGAAAATCTGTTTTAGATCTTTATGTTACTGTGGGGTCGACAAATCTCAATTTTCCAAAGAAATTAAATCTCTTGTTCAGAAAATCCGAACAAAATCAAATGTGCTTGTTTTTCGTCCATAGAAATATGAACGTAGAATACATGAAGTGGTCGTCAGCATTTTCACAAAGATTCTGGTCTTGGTGGGATGAAGAAGGCAAAGAATTCAAGTTTAGGTTCTGGCTTTCAGTAACAGCATTTAATATCATAATTAGTTTATTTAAATAGATTAAATCCAATAATTTGCTCACACTCCACAACTGAAAGTTCCTGAGTCACCAACTGGTCTCCAACAACCAGACCAGTGCGGTACCACCACCTCCATTAATCTCCCACCTGTTTGTGTTATTAAATGTTCCGTACCTGCTGGTTTCTTTTGGTATTCTGCCCTCCTCTCATCGGTCCTTCCTGTCTCTGTCTCCTTTGTCTTTTGCTTGTCTCACGTTCTTCCCGTACACCAGAGGAAAGTGCTGCGTCACACTTCTGAACGAAACCGAAGCCCTGAAGTCCTACCTGGACAGAGAGGTATGCGTGCACCCCTCCAAGGAACACGTACACACAAATAACTTGTTGTTGTTTTTATATAGAAGACGCGCGTTCTTAGAAACACTGCTTTTTAGACAGGAAGTCCACGGTTCTCACTTCATGCTGTCTTCAGCCGTAGTGTACGTAGGAACGGCACACGAATGTGCATTGAAGGCCTTGCTACACGTGTAAGTGTCATGGGACATGAATGGGAAAGATGAGAAGAGACCATTGTGGGGTTTTGTCCCCCACTGCGGCGTGAAGAGGAGGAACTGGACAAGCCCTCTGTCCGTCCATCCGTTGTGAGCGTAACTTGAAACATAAATGAGGTACCGGCTTCTGTTGTAACGTGTGGCTGCAGCTAGGTGGAAGAAATGTTCCTCCAAAACTGGGTTGCCAGGTCAAAATTTAAGAGAGTTTCCTCCACTGATAGGAGTGGTTGGTTTACACACACACACACACACACACACACACACACACATGTGGGGCGGCTGTGGCTGAGTGGTTAAAGCAGTCGTCCTCCAATGCAAGAGTTGGGGGTTCGAATCCACCAGCAGTCACATGCCGAAGTGTCCCTGGGCAAGACACTGACCCCTCACTGCCTCTGATGTGTGTCCCATCAGTGTCTGAATGTGATTAAGTTCTGATTAGTCTCTTTAGAATGATTTGTTCAATTATCTTTGTAGATCTAGTAGAGTGCTCACAGATTGTAGTGTAAAGCGCTTTGCGTATCTCGATAACATAGAAAGGCGCTGTATAAGTACAGTCCATTTACTATATACATATACATACATATCTATATATATATATATATATGTGTGTGTATATATGTGTGTATATATGTGTTTGTGTGTATATATGTGTGTGTGTGGCTTCTAAATATGAGATCATGTGTGTTGGATTGTCTACGTGTGTTCAGATCTTCTGACTTTAAAGGTTCTTGTTTCCAGATGAATTATTTAGTACGTTGACCCAGAACGTTCTTTTCACGTACAGTAATGATGAGACGAGAAGCTGGCTGAGAGGAACGCACAGATGCAGCATGCTGTAACCCATCTCTGTTTCTGTCCCTTCACGCCATCATCCTGTGTTTCCCAGGATGCCTTCTTCTACTCGCTGGTGTATGACCCTCAGCAGAAGACCCTGCTGGCTGATAAGGGGGAGATCCGCATTGGGAACAAATACCAGGCTGACATCACCGACCTCCTAAAAGAAGGTACTTAAATGTTCAGTGTTTTCATTGATGCAGATTTTTAAATCAAACCGTCACAGACGACCTGCTGCTCTGGATGCTTTCTCTCTCGTCTCACCTGCAACAGCTGAAAATGGTACTTTTCAACCCCAGTCTTAAAAACTAATGATGAAACTTTCTTTGTGTTCACGAACAGTTTCAATAACTTGTGTTGCCATGGCAACGTGTAAAAAGCATAAACTTGAACTGGGTTTCTCCTGCTGTCTGTCATGCCAGAGTTTTTAAACTATGACTCTGTTTACTCAACACGTTTAATGAGTTTGGCCACTCACGTGCACATCAGTCCTCGTTCTCTGAAACTCAAGGTTTCTGGTGTGAAATGCTCTGCAGGTGTGAAATCGCACGTGCACTCCAGGCGGCTGCAGTCAGGTTTTTCTGCACCGACATCAGTTACATTAAATGGCATTAAGTGTTTTTTGTGCTACTCACCTGTTGTCAGCATGTAGGAGCAAAACCAATCTGAAGAAACGTTCATGGACTCACCAGTTTGGATGAACTGTGATCATGCAGACGCTTTGTGCATCATCCAGATGCTGAGCCAGGTGTTGCCAGATAAACATTAAATACTTTTTTTTTTAATCCCTTCTTTTCTGTCCACATGTTCACCAAACACAAGTCTCATCTTGCTGCACCTTCACTCAGCACATATGACAGTTAGCTCAAAATACAAGAAGCTTAAAGCCACAGTACAATAGTTCATCACTTCTTATCTGGCAACCCTGCCTAGCCATTTTTTCACAATTATGGTCATTCTGAATCAGGTTGACGCCAAAAGTGAAATCTGTTGATCAGTTAAAGATGTCCATTTAATAAGGACCGCTGTGGTGTAGAGGCAGGGCGGCCGACCTGGGACCAGAAAGTCACGGGTTCAAATCCCTGCCATGCCCACATGTCGTGTCCTTGAGCAAGACGCCCTAACTGCTCCCCGGGTGTCTGTATGTCTGTCGTTCGTTCTTTCTAGTTTTTGTTTCTAGTTCTCTAGTTTTTTCTTTTTTCTAGTTCTTTCGTTCTAGTTCTTTTCTAGGTTTTGTTTCTAGTTCCCTAATTCTTTCTTTCTAGTTCTCTAGTTCTTTCTTGCTCTCTAGTTCTTTCTTTCTAGTTCTCTAGTTCTTTCTTGCTCTCTAGTTCTTTCTTGCTCTCTAATTCTTTCTTTCTAGTTCTCTAGTTCTTTCTTGCTCTCTAATTCTTTCTTTCTAGTTCTTTCTTGCTCTCTAGTTCTTTCTTTCTAGTTTTCTAGTTCTTTCTTGCTCTCTAGTTCTTTCCTTCTAGTTCTTTCTTTCTTGTTCATTCTTTCTTTCTTTCTTTCTAGTACTTTCTAGAAGTTTGTTGAAATCTGTCCAGTGGTTCATGAGATTTTTTTGCTAGTAAACACAGTTTATGTTGACAAATATTTAATATTTAAATTATTCCTTGAAAAGAAAACTGGAATGAAATTTGAGTTTCATTATGGATTTTTTAAATTTGTTGAATCTTTGTAAATGATGATCTTATCTGAACGTGTCAGAGAATTCCACGCGTTTGTGTTTTCTGTCTAACTTCAGGTGAAGATGACTGTAGAGACCTGGCCAAACTGGAGCAGAAGGTCTGGGACCCCAGCAGCTCGCTAACAGAGAAACAGATCGACCAGTTTTTAGTAGTCGCTCGGTGAGTCAACTAAGCCGCCAAAACGGAAAAAAATAGCAGTTTATTTTATTATTACAAATTCAGAAAAATTCAATTCAGCTTATTTCTATAGCACCAAATCACAACAAAGTTGTCTCAGGGACTTTACAGGAACATTCACATAAAAGCCAGTTAGTAAAGTTCTCTATCTAAGGAATCCAGCAGACAAGTTGAATCTTGGCTTCGTTGCAGTCTCCCATCCTGAGCAAGCACAGTGGAGACAGTGGAAAGAAAAACTCCCTTTAACAGGAAGAAACCTCCAGCAGAACCAGCTCAGGACAAGAGACCATCTGCTTTGACTGTAAAAAACATACTTGCAAGGAAAGTAGTTATCTAAAATTGATGTTAATACACATGGTGGTGGGGGGGGGGGGGGGGGGGGATTAAATGATGATGTCAAAAAGAAAACTTGGTTAAAGTACTTCCTGATGTTATCTTCTTGAAAGCTTCTTTATAACTAACATCACAAACTCTAACTGTATAAATTAAGTGAAGATAAAATATAGTATATTAATAGTATATTTCTGCTTGTGGTGTTTGAATTTACATGATATATTTATGATGTCAAATACAAACTCATAACTTAGTCAACACTTTCAAAAGTTTTTATTTTACACTTACAGAGGTGCTTAAAGTTTGTGAACTCTTCCGTATGACCTAAAACATCATCAGATTTAAACAGAAGTCCTAAAAGTAGATGAAGAAAACCCAGTTTAAAAAAATGAGAGAAAATATTAAACCTGGTCATTTAATTATGGAGGAAAATGATCCAGCTCAGTCTGCTGGCTTCATGGATAACTGTCACTAACTGGTGGAAGATCTACGTGAAGGTTTTTGAGATGACTTGTTGTGAATTGTCACTAAACGATAAAGTTGAATAGTTTTGAATTGATTTAGAACAAAGAGCCTCTGTCTGTGCTTTTCAGGTCAGTGGGGACGTTTGCCAGAGCTTTGGACTGCAGCAGTTCTGTCCGGCAGCCGAGCCTCCACATGAGCGCAGCTGCAGCCTCCAGAGACATCACTCTGGTGAGGGCTACATGAAACAGCACCTAAACGTTTCAAACCAAGCGGCGCGGCTGATCGAGCAAATGTTTGTGTCTATGAAAACTTGTGTTTCAATGCATTGCTGCATATTAACAAACTCGTGGGTCACGTAGGCGTGGTGTGGGTCTAGATGCCTTTTATAACTTTAAACCTCGCACACAGATTCCATGTTGTTGTTGTTGTTGTTGTTGTTGTCACAGACATCATCTGAACATAATTAGTTAAACTGCATTTTGTTCACACTTTGTTGTGTCAAGTTTCACGCTATGGACACCCTCCACGCTAACAGCTACGACATGACTCGAGCCATTGCAGCGTTGGTGCCTCAGGGGGGGCCTGTCCTCTGCAGGGATGAAATGGAGGAGTGGAGCGCCTCGGAGGCCAACCTGTTCGAGGAGGCGCTCGAAAAATATGGCAAAGACTTCACCGACATCCAGCAAGACTTTGTGAGTGGCAAAACAAAAAGAGGTGCATTTAGGGACGCACCAGCCCGTTCAGAAAAAGTTGGAGTTGTGTCGAAGGGTCAAGATGTAATGATCTGTAAATTTTAAATACCAATAATTTATTCACACTGAAACACAGCATGCATGTCGAGAACAACACAAGCATCAGACCTTTAGACAGAAACTGTACAACTTTTAGAATTAAAATGTATTTAATAGCAGCAACATATCTGTCTGTGCAGCGTTCCATTTCCTCCTGTGAAGCTGGGCTTCTCTTCAACAGTCAGTAAACAGCCAGGAACTGAGGAGACCGGCTGCTGCCTGTTTCCGTCCTGTCTGCGTCTAGCTCTTCAACAGTCTGTAAACAGCCAGGAACTGAGGAGACCGGCTGCTGGCCTGTTTCCGTC